TCTCTCTCTCTCTCCTCTCTCTCTCTCTCTCTCTGCTCTCTCCTCTCTCTCTCTCTCTCTCTCTCTCTCTCTCTCGTCCGCTCGACCCACAAGCCAAACTCATCACCTCTCTCTTCTCTCTCTCTCTCTCTCTCCTCTCTCTCTCTCGTCCTCTCAATCTCTCTCTCTCTCTCTCTCTCTCTTCTCCCTCGAGCCTACCCTCCATCTCTCTGGTCTTTTCTCGAAATTCCTTTCCGGCTTCTCCTTGTCCATCTCATACCCTTCATCCTCCCCCTTCTTATCTCTCTCTCTCTCCTCTATCTCTTTCACCTCCTTTTCTTTCTCTCTGCTCCTTTCACCCTCTCTCTCATCTCTCTCTCTCTCTCTTCTCTCCCTCTCTCTCTCTCCTGCGTCTCTCTCTTCTCTCTCTCTCCTCTCTCTCTCTCTCTTCTCTCTCTACTCTTAACCCTCATATCACCACACCCTCCCTTTCCCCCTTCCACCCCCTCCTACCCCACCCTACCACATGGCTGCCCCCTGTTTATTCTAAGCCGGCCCATGCGAAACTAAACTGCCCACGCCCATCTTGGCCAGATACGCCACACGGAGAGAGAGAATGTATGGTAAATCGAACTTTGTAGTTTATAAGATATATTTTTTGATAAAAAGGAGATTTTTTTAAATGATGTTGATGCTTTATTTAAATCATTAATAATATTGTTATGTTGTTGTATCGTTATTATAATTATCATTATCAATAATATTTTTGTTATCAATTATCAATATTATCATTACTCATATATTACCTTATTAGTATTTTGTATATCATCATTACTTTTATCATTATTATCATTCCTATTATCATCATTATTATCATTGCTGTTATCACTGTTATCGTCATTTCATAGATTTTACTATTCTTTAATTTTTATATGATGATAATTATCATTACCACCATCACCTTTATCATCATATTCATTATTATGATGAGTATCATTATCATCATCATAAACATTATCATCATTGATTATTATCTGTCTTCATTATCATTATTTGCACTGTTTTTATTGCACGTGAAATATATGTTCAATGGTATATATAATATATATATATATATATTATATATATATATTATATATATATATATTATATATATATATATTATAATTATATGTCATCTCTTCTCTTCTCTCTCTGTTCCCACTCTCTCTCATATATCATCTATCTCATAATATATGTATATATATATATATATATATATATATATATATTATATATATATATATATATATATATATAATATATATATATATATAGAGAGAGAGAGAGAGAGATACTAGAGAGAGAGAGAGAGAGAAGAGAGAGAGAGAGAGAGAGAGAGAGAGAGAGAGAGAGAGAGAGAGGAGAGAGAGAGAGAGAGAGAGATTGAGAGAGAGAGAGAGAGAGAAGAGAGAGAGGAGAGAGAGAGAGAGAAGGAGCGAGTGAGTAACTGTTTATTAATTGATGTAAAATTATACCTCCAAGGGAAAGATACACACAAACAGACAGATAGACATGCAGACAAATAATAAACAGGGATAAAAATAACTAAAAGATACATAATTATTTATTGTACGCATATGAAAAAGAAAAAAAGTTTCATATTTATGATTTTATCTTATTTATTTATTTATTTATTTTTACTGCACGTTTATATTATTCATATTGATTTTATTTTGTGATCTTTACTCATTTTTTTCTGTATGTCAATTTATATCTCTTAATTGAACACATGCATTGTTTCCTCTTTTTAAAGCACTATATATTCATAATATTCACCTGGTGTCTGTATCTCTTTCATTTTCAAACACATTCATATCCTTCTTTCTTAACCAAACAGATGCATTGTCTTGTGTGATTTTAGACTATTTATGGCCATCCTCTTTTACTATACATATGTTTCGTCTTTCCTCCATTGTCTTTTTACGTTTTGTCTTAGATGCATTGTCTTGTGTTTTAAACTATTTATGGCCTCCTCTTTAAACTATACATATGTTTCGTCTTTCCTCCATTGTCTTTTTACGTTTTGTCTTAATCACCATCTTTCTTAACCAAGCAGATGCATTGTCTACATTTTATTCATACCCGCCATTCTTAACTAAGCATATGCTCTGTCTCCCCTTCATTATTTTCACACATATTTATCATTCTTCTGTGAAGAAACAGATGCAGTGTCTCTCCCTCATTTTTAACATTTTATTCATATCTCACCTCTAACTTTCTTAACTGAACTGAAATGTTGTCTTAGTTTCTTTTAAAATGATCCTCTCTCCCTTATTTTGTAATACCTTAGCTATATCTATTGATTAGCAATAAATCAAATGCCTATTATTATTATTTTTTTTATATCATCACTGTATCTCTATTATCCATTTTTAACCGATCGATGCATGGTCTTTCCCTCACATTTCTTTAACCAGATTTGCCTTCCAGAACCACCTTTTCCTCCACATTTCTATAAAACTTTACTTTCAGAACAAGCTTTTCCTTCAATATATCTTTTAAGAGGTTTTCCTCCTTTGTCCACCTTTCCTCTACATTTCTCAAACAAGCCATTTTCTGTAACCAAACATTTCCTCCACACTTCTCCAACAAA